CTAAGTTTTCTACAACTATAGGGTATATTATACTACAATACACTACAGTTTACTGGAGTAAAAACTAAAGCATACTACAATACTTATTACAGTTTATCAGTTTACTATAGTTAACACTACAGTATGCTGTAAATACTATAATATATACAGTATAATACACTTTACTATAGTATGCTTCAAAGACACTATAATATTTACTATAAATTACTGTAGTATTTTTTCATGTTAGTAGTTTTAGTAGTTTATGTATATAAAGTTTTTTTAAATAAAGTTTAGTTTATTTGTAGTTATTTTAGTTCCTCAGCTTAAACTAAAGGAAGATAAAAATGAAGTGAAATAAAATATACATCATGGACAATTATATATCACTTATAAATGATTAAATACAAAATTAATAGTAGTTATTAAGATTGATGTGGTTTGGAATTGGTAAAATGTGCTTGGAAAAAATATATATATCAGAATATCAGCGTGCCTAATAATTATGCACAGATCTATATTAGCATTAATGCAACCTTAAGAACAATGTTAAAGAATAAATGGATTCTTTTTAGTTTTTAGCAGTCATAAGTATAAATCTATCAGTTCACAAAAGAAACTTGAATTTAATGAGAACCTGACTCTTTGGTTATTTGCTATTTTTGCTGTATAGCTGTATAGCTCCCTCAAGGATGTATGTGTGTGATATTGGAGGTTTGTAGGACAAAGGTAACGACCGTGTGATTGAATGGGTTCCCGCAGGTCCTTAAAAAGTCCTATATTTAGTTGCATCAAATTTAAGGCCATAAAAAGTCTTAAACTGTACAAGAAGGTTTTAATTATGATTTCAAGAGGTTTTAAATTTGGGGACGGAAAGACCAGAATTGCGATATGGTTTAATGTGATGATTAAACTTCAAAAGGCTGTGATTTCATTAAATAAACAGGAGCGCTGCAGGTTTTAAAGTCCAGTGCTTTTACCCAGGAAACAGCTATATTTCTGCCGTTCCTAAAGCGCCTCCTGCTGGCAGAGAATAAATGTGCATTTCCAATACGCCTGCTGTTTTTGTTCAGACCAATGCAATACTCGACCCGTGTTTTTACTCTGCAAACACGCAGAGCTGTAAATGTGAACTGGTGGATCGATAATAAGACAATGCATTACACAAATCTAAACAGTAAAATTTATTTATATGTTATTTAATTGATAATAAGCCTAATTGTTTAAATATAATAATTAATACTCATCTGTTTTCTTAAAAATGGCTTGAAGGCTGAATTGAAGTGTATCATTTTATAAAACTTTTTGTTTTTGTGAAAACTTGTATCTTAACTGTAAATCATGCTTTTTACAGTCATTTTACAGTTTAATATGCTACTATAGACATTGTCATACCCCGCTCATATGGTATTAATTTGATTTGTGCAGGTCTTTAACAAGGTCTTACAAAGTCTTAAATTTGAGCTTGAAAATCCTGCAGAAACCTGATTCAACATCTGCAACAAATAAAGCTGAAAATGTTTATGTTATTGACTCTGTTTTTAATGATGAATGTATGAGATGTGATATTACTGGCACTTTAGTCTGAACTGATTATGATCCTGGTGATATTTGCCACATTTAATAATAAGAAAGGGTGGCTTTAATATGAGTTTTAGTACAAATGTAAATGAGTGTCTCAAGCAGCAGAGGGAGCAACACACACATGCTAATGTTGCACACACACACACACACACTCAACCATTGAGGTGCTAATGTGTTTGTGTGTCTCTCTTTGGGGACTCTCCATAGGCGTAATGGTTTTTCTACTGTACAGACTGTATACACACTCACACACACACACACACCCTCTGGCTTGATCATATTTTAAATGATCATGATCAACATTTAAATGTGTGCACATAATGCATAAAGTTATAATTTTTAGGTATAAGACTTAACAGTTTACTGTGCTGCAGGTCTTTTACATGAACAGGTTTTAAAGTATTTTAAGCGAACTATCAAATGTCAAACCTTTACAAATTATTGCAAAACACAAAATCCACGTTTTAAAGTTTTTTGTCAGTTTTTAAGCAATTCAAAGTAAAAAATATCCTGCGCTCCTCATTGGTCAGCCGCGTCACCTGCGCCCAATCAGCAGCGTCCTCGGAGGCGTTAGGCCCCGCCCCCCGCAGCCGAGCACAGGTGAGCGTGCGCCTGATCGCGGCGGCGGCGGACAGCGCGAGCGGAGCGGAGCAGCGACATGAGACTCGGTCCGAAGCGCCCGGACTGAGCTGATCCACACCGTGAGTACCGGCCGTTTCTCCGAGAGGCATGTCTGAGAGGAACGGGGAGAGTTTCCCGCGCTTTACAGATTTATGACTGTGTGAGCGCTTATCAGATAATTCACGAGCGATTTGAGCATTAACTCGAGTGTTTTTAGCGCGCGCGTGTGTGTGTGTGTGTGTGTGTCCTCGGAGGCGTTAGGCCCCGCCCCCCGCAGCCGAGCACAGGTGAGCGTGCGCCTGATCGCGGCGGCGGCGGACAGCGCGAGCGGAGCGGAGCAGCGACATGAGACTCGGTCCGAAGCGCCCGGACTGAGCTGATCCACACCGTGAGTACCGGCCGTTTCTCCGAGAGGCATGTCTGAGAGGAACGGGGAGAGTTTCCCGCGCTTTACAGATTTATGACTGTGTGAGCGCTTATCAGATAATTCACGAGCGATTTGAGCATTAACTCGAGTGTTTTTAGCGCGCGCGCGCGTGTGTGTGTGTGTGTGTGTGTGTGTGTGTGTGTGTGTGTTAACACGACGCACCCAGATCACACAGAGACATTATTAATATTTAAAACGATAACAAACCTGTGTTCATTTCTCCTCGCGACCGCTGGCTTCATGTTAACCGCTAACGTTAAACTCTTTTCCTCACTTCTGTGTTTAAGGCGAGACTCTAGACAAAGCCACAGATTTTGGTCTGAATAGCTTCTGTATCGTGTCCTCATTCGGACTCGTGGACAGAAAGCATCCAAAACACACTTTAAGTGTTTGTTTTATTGCACTTTATCTGTTTGCGTCTGTAGAGTTCAGTTAGGCTCTTTTAAAGAGGTTTTTCTCTTACAAACACCACACCTTACAGTGTCATTCCTCTCTCTATTCTGAAGGCTTTTACTGTATTTATTTTATACAGTATTTTACTCCTAAAACATGGTGAAAATGTGTGTGTGTTTTCTCTCTGTTGACAGTATTTTCAGATTTCTGTTTAAAAGAGAGATCCAGAATCTCCTCTGGAAAAACCTTTAAGTCTAATATGACAACAAACTCTTAACAAGAATTTTCAGCTTGGCTTTATGCAATGTTCAGATTAATATTCTGTAAATGTGTGCATATTTAATGAGGTAATTCCAGAAAGCCTGTAATACCAAGCAGTGTTTAATCGCCTGAGGAAAGGTCAATCAGTCTCCATAAAAAGAGGTTTTTCTCTTACAAACACCACACCTTACAGTGTCATTCCTCTCTCTATTCTGAAGGCTTTTACTGTATTTATTTTATACAGTATTTTACTCCTAAAACATGGTGAAAATGTGTGTGTGTTTTCTCTCTGTTGACAGTATTTTCTGATTTCTGGTTAAAAAAAAAACCTTTAAGTCTAATATGACAACAAACTCTTAACAAGAATTTTCAGCTTGGCTTTATGCAATGTTCAGATTAATATTCTGTAAATGTGTGCATATTTAATGAGGTAATTCCAGAAAGCCTGTAATACCAAGCAGTGTTTAATCACCTGAGGAAAGGTCAATCAGTCACCATAAAGTCCATAAAGTCACCACGAAATCAACTTTGACGAGACTTATTTTGTATAATGATGTTCACAGATAAACCTTTCATAATGCACATTGCACACATGATTTCATGCTGACTTATTTTCCACATGCTAGAATAATAATACAGGAATTCAACATAAATGTGTCCAGACGTTTCGCTGATCGTGTCTAATATGCACTTTAATTGTTATTCACGAGAAAATGAAAGAGTCGTCACATTTCGAAGACCACTGTGAAAATGCTAAAATAATATATGATGTGAAAGTGAAACGACTGGTGTGCGTCTGATATCTGGATCCATGTGTTTGCTCGTGAACTCAAAGACTCAGGTTTTCTGCTTATCACGCATGAAGTGTTTGTGGTTTTCGACTTCACACATCATAGTTCCTGTGTGTGTGTGTGTGTGTGTGTGAGTGTGTGTGTGTGTGTGTCTGAGAGAGTGTGTGTGTGTGTGTGTGTGTGTGTGTCTGAGTGAGTGTGTGTGTG